TTTTTTTTTTTATAGTGTTAACTATTGAATACCCAGTAAAAACTACACTAGCCACAATCAGAGAGTTTTCACCGTAAAAATGAAATCATGGTAAAACAGCTCAGCAGTGTCCAATTGTGCCACTGAGTTGGTCTCCCTAGACTCAACAACATATATAGTTATACATAATAGATTATAATTATATTATCTGAATATTCTGTTATCAAAATAAAATGTACTCAAAAAAACCAGCACAAGTCAATTTTTTTTTTTTTTACCATTTTGGATTCAATAAATTACTAATAGGTTTGATTCAAACCACATGGTGAGGCTATCTGGACACTTACCGTTATTGGATTGCTCAGTGGTGCGGTTTTAGCAGCTTGTGTCTCTGAGCATTTCTCTGCAGGTGTCTGTGTCTCTTTAGGTTTTTCTACAGTTGTCAGGCTGTAAAATACCAAAAAAAGCAGTCCATATATTAGAAAGCGCCATTTTCTACAGTTTTCCAGCACTTTATTTTTTCCACCAGAAGTACATTTATAATATTAGGCTGTTTGCAACAAGAAGTAATATTACATTTTACATGATTATTTTCTATTCTCTCTGACCCACAGAACTAAAGCCGTTTTTGCTACTGTACCTTTAAGACATTAAAGACCTCATCTTATATTAAAGTAGTAAACACCACCACTGCCAAATTGCTGAATAATACTGAGTAAGTGTTGACAAGTAAAATTGGGTGTTTATCTCAATGAAATCTTAAAACACCGTCCAAAGTGCTGCAAGCTATTTATTTTGGAATGCCACACATGAAAATATCCACACAACCTAACAGAATCCTGAGAAATCACACCCGTCACTGTGACAGCTGTAAACTTACTTCAGAAGAAAAAAGAAAAAAATAGTAAGGCGACCTTTCTCATGCTTTGAGCCTATCAGAAATGCTGTAACATCCACATAAGCCTGTGAATTATTTAGAGTCTTCTCAGAATAGACTATTTAAAAGAACACATGGTTGAAATGGCACAGAAGTTAGTTAACATCTGAAATCACTTCCAACACCTTTAAGTGAAAACAGATTTGTCACATGTATTGATTAGTTACTCAGAATAAATAAACCCACTTTGTAAGAGCTGGAGAGGGTGAGTGTTGGTGGTCCACTGGGGTCTGAGCAGCAGGAGCAGGAGCAGCCTGCACAGATTCTTTGGGGGTCCCTGAGATCACACGGCTGGTGACCACATCCTTATTTAGAGGCTGTGGAGAGACAAAGAGGCCTCTGTGAAACTCCTACGGCAAGGACAGCATGAACAAACATAGCAGCTGGACAGCAGGAACTCACACACACACTTACTCTAAACCACTCAAAACACCCAAGGACTTGTCATGGTTATGACTGACAGTAAGATCTGCTGTGAACATGGCATTCTATGCTCAGTGCAAGTTAATATTTAAAAACCAAGTGCATTTGGTCAATTATCTAGAATTCAAATAATATAAGCCTGAAACGTTTTTCATCTTCCTTTTTTAAAATTCAGAATATTAAAAGACAGTTTAATGCTGCAGCACTCTAACAAGCACAAAAGGAAAGACTGAATGAAAGCCAACCTTGTCTTTAACTGCTCCGGTGACAACGTCAGACAGTCGGTTGTCAAGGCTGTTTTCAGTTTTTACTTCAGGCTTTAGATTTCCTGCGGCTCCAGGTAGAGGAGGGAAGCTGGACAGGCCCAGCTCAAAGCTGGGGGACGGATTGCGCTCTTGAACAGGAGGAGGTGACTGTGTTGCTGCTCTCTGTTAAACACACATGGAGAAAAAGAGTTGAAATGTGTGCAACAAATTGAGCCTGCATTGGCACATTTATTTTTAACTCTGTTTCTGCTGTGATAGAAACGCTTTCAAATGCATTTTTGGCAACTCCTCAATATTACACAGCACTACAGGAAAACTCTATTCTGATTGGTCAATCGCAGCATTCTGTGGTCAAATACCCAGGCAACTGATATTTTTCTTTTTTACATGGATGTGCTAGTTTTAGGTAGGGATGCACCGATACCACTTTTTCCAGTACTCGCCCGATACCGATACTTTTATTTTTGGTACTTGCCGATACCGATGCCGATACCTATATTTTTATTACATTTGTAAATTTTTTAAATATTGGGTACAGAAACCAAAAGGGTATGTATAATGTTAGTTGGTTAACTTCATTTATCAAATAGATACAGTCAAACCAAAATATATTCAGACACCTTCAACATTTCTCACATTAATCATCTTTAATTTAATAGCATTAGAGCAGCGGCTTAGTACTGTAATCACGCGCTTTGCTGTAATAATGCAGGGAACCACTCGTTATAAATCTCCTAACTGTGATATTTTCAGAAATAGAAGTCGCGTTTTTTCATCTGAAACGTGCTGCGATTTATATTCCAAAGCCACTCATATAATGCAGAAACACTCAAGCAAGCAAAACACGCGCAACGCCTGCACGTGTTTGTGCTGATGCAGAATAGTACAGTCTAGCGCATTTCACACAGGCTGCTAGATTCACTTTCGCTAGAAAGTCGTGTATGCCTAAGGTTGAAAATAAATGATGATTATAGTGAATGCCCCTATGAATGGTTTTATTTGTACGATTTCGTTTTAATTCAAATGATGCGTGTGCTCAGTGAGTGAACATCAAAGATCACACAACAGAAGTGCGCGCGTGCTCTCTCTCGCTCTCTCTGTCTGTCTCTCTCTCGCTCTCTCCCTACCGTTAAGTAACTTGTGCATTGTTTTACTTACTTGTTTTTGACATATCCGTCCGAACTATAAACTTTCCAGTGATGTCTGTGAGAAAGATATATTCATTCGACAAGCTCGCGCATCTGCGCCGCCGCGCGCTCAATCCACTCAGCGTGCTTTTTTTTATCAGCTCGCGCACTTCAGCTATACAGGCGTTAATACTGAATGTTTAATGTTATATTCATTGCATACATATACTTCGTAGTAGACATCCATAACTCCTTTCTGCTGTCTGTTGTCAGTGTTTCTTTGTTTAAATATGGCGCTTATCACATGCTGTGTGGTATCGGCGTTTGGTATCGGGGCATTTTAACGAGTACGAGTACGAGTACAGGAGGCCAGTATCGGGCCCGATACCGATACCAGTATCGGTATCGGTGCATCCCTAGTTTTAGGTCTTGCGTATCAATCTGGGTTCTTTTTCTTGACAAAGTAACTGGCATTTTCACTCAAATCAATACTTAATGTGCATTTATTTGTTTACTTGCTATGTAATAAGCAAGATAACGTACATTCAGCCCGTCAGGCTTGACTGTATATTATATTTTACTTGAAGTATTTAGAGTTTTCTATCATATCAAAAGTAAAACTAAACAAAACACTTGTCTATGCAGTGTTAGCTGAAAGAAGGCAAATGACATACTGGAAACTTGTTGTCATCTCTCCTTTTCCTGCATCCATAGCCGCCCCTTCTTCAAAAGAAACAAACAAACAAACAATATGGAAAAAGCTACCACCATTTCTTACGGAAACAGAGCTCTACATGCCTTTTCCCCCCATTTTGGATATGGTATTACAACAATATGTATGAAATTAATAAACAGCTGGTGCAGATGTACAGCATTACCTTCCACGGCCTGCGTTCAGAGAGTAATCGGCCCCGTTTACTTCCATTCGTCCATTTCCAACCTGGTCCCGGCGCGGATAGCCTGGGCCGCTCGGTAGTCGAGGTCGGCTACCCAGGTAATGAGCCTGTGGAGGACGTGTCCCATTGGGGACTCTCTCCGAAGGGAAAGTAGAGAAAACAGCAGGGTTTTCCAGCAGAGTGGTTCCACGTTCTGTTGTGAGTCGAATGTGTGTTTTGTTGTGGTTCCTGTACAGATGAAAGAATGGTTACACAGCTGTTTTCTATTTTACCATTTTAAAACGTAAATTATTCCTGTAATGCAAGGCTGAATTTTCAGCATCATTACTCTAGTCTTCAGTGTCACATGATCCTTCTCAAATATTTTAATATGCTAATTTGATGCTCAAGAAACATTATCATCAATTTTGAAAAATGTCAAATTGATCATTTGTTCTGCTTAATATTTTTGTGAAAACCATGACACTTTTTCAAGATTTTTTCAATAGAACAACATGTATTTGAAATGTAAATCTTTTGTCAAATTATACAATTCTTTACTGTCACTCTTGATCATTTGAATCCATCCTTGCTGAAAAGTATTAATTTATTTCTCTCTTTAGCCGGTAGTGTAAATGTATAACAAATGGTTTTCACTGTAACAAAAGTACCTGATTCGAGGTACATATTGTCTGACAGTTAGTGGAGATGTTGCTGATTTAAATGTCGGAGAACCAGCAAAGCCGTTAATAAACGCAGGGCTGGAAAATGGAGTAACCTGTTGGTAGACAACACTTCATTAGTACATCTCCAGGCTCCATTCAGATATTCCTCAGAGCCAAACAGAACACATGGCACTTACCAGAGTCGGGTCCAGGTAGCTCTGTGTAGCGGACCAGCCCTGAGGCGTCACCAGTCTGTAAAGAGGAAACTGTTGCTGTGCTCCATACATAGGTGGGATGTAGTAAGGGGTGTAGCGCTGTTGGACATTTGAGGACACATCCGCTGGTCGATATCCATTCTTTGGCACAAAAGTATTGACGGCAATGGCCTTGGCCTTTATTCTAGCCTAGAATGCATTGGTAGATGGACAAAAAAAAAGCTTTATTTGAAAGTGCAAAAAAGGAGAAGCCTCGAGTCTTAAAAATAGCACAAAACATTCTTCAGTGATGTCACATATGCTGCATTGCACTCTACCTTTATTGGCTTCCCTTGAAAAGTTTTCACCTCTTCTCTGAGATACTGATATGCCTGAAAGAGTGATGTGTGCCAATGTTTAGCAACAGGAAGAGAGCTTATTAAAAATCCTGAGGCGGTAATCCGAGACGATCAAATCAGGGGCAATAAAGGAGACTCTTACCAGCTGAGCATCTGCCTCAGATTCAAAGGTGATGAACCAGTTGTCATTGTAGGCAAACTCACAATTGATGAATTTGGGCAAGTTATCGCTCTTAAAGAGCGCTTCAACTTCCTGTAAAAATGAAAGCCAAATGTCATAGCACAAAAATAAGGTCAGAGAATTAAAGATGTTATTGAATAAGAGAGATGCATGATGCATACCTCCAGAGGAGTGGCCTCGGGAACCTCTCGGAGAATTACAATGCAGCGGTTCTGATTGGGCCGCACTTTCTCTCCACATTTGTCCACTTGGACAAGAGGCAGCTCTGGTGAGTCAGAAATGTATCATTAATGTCAGACTCATCTGCTGTGTGTAACCAAACCCATTTTGATGAGTCTAAAACAAAAAGCCACACTGCGACCCATAAAAGTGCAAAGGTGATGATTTTTAGACTCACTTTTTAAGATGTCTGCAATGAGATCCACATCAGTGGTGAGTTTCTTGATTTGATCAAGGTTTGCCAAAGTCACTATTGGCACATACTGGTCACTGTCCATTTGCGAGATGAGGTACATGTCATTGGCTAGATTCTCCCTGGAAAAGGATAAGAGTCAGGTCACCATCAATCCTACACTGACTCAAGCTAATCCTCAAGCTTTTAAGAACGTTCACTACAGTTCAAATGTTTGGGGTCAGTGTGATTTTGCTTAGTTAAATAGTTTTAAATTAATTCTTTTATTCAGCAAGGATGCATTAAATTGATCAAAAGTGTATTATATGTCCTAGCCTTTTCAGATTCTTGAAAAGCATATCCCACATACTCAAATGCTAAATGCTCTTAGTTTACATTTGCAGTAGTGAAGTCTGTAACAACTCAATGAGATATTACAACCCTCTACATTGCGAGTAAATCACTCGCATATGCGACTAATCTTCACTCTGGGCGACTAAATGATGTCTAATATTAGCCACTGGCTAATAAATTCTCAGATTTTACTAGCCAGTGTGTGAGTTGGACGCTAAGTATAAGTTTAGCAAAGCAGCACCACCAGTCCTAAGTTCAGTTAAAATGACTAATATGCATTCATACATGGTTTTAATTCTAATTACCGGTACTAAAGTTCTACCATTAAATAATACTTGATTATCATATAATGCTTGACTGACTAATGTTAAGAATGTAGTACTTTCAGATTTTTAAAAAGCTGTGCCATTTTACAAACATATATATACATTTAAAACACACACACACATGCATATATGGTATATCAGTCTGGCGAGTAAACTTAAAAATTTACTAGCCAATGGCGATTCAATTGCCAAGGTGTCCGTAGAGGGTTGTATTAACACAAAACAGTCTGAAATTCACTGTTCTTGATTTAAGGTACCATGTCGGGATATGTTATGTTTCAATGGATATGTCCAATGTTTTTTAAAAAGCTGTGAACGGGCCAGTGCACCCAACAGGACCAGTTACCAATCAATAAGCTGGCTCAATGTGATCAGTTGTGAAGATGCTAGTAATTACCTAGAGAGGCAGAATTCCAGTGTTGCCTTCAACTGTTCCCGAAGGTCTTCAAGCTGTATGGAGGAGTCTGAATCATCCACCCCTGCACAAAAGAATAAATCAAATGATAGATTATTTAAGAATGCTATAGTTTAAATTAATCCTTAACGATTGATTGTGGCATCTTGTGCCATAGTTAACCTGCATAACTGTAAATAACTGAAATAAAAGTAGGTTGACAACAATGAACAAAACAGCAAATGGATATTACCTTTCATACTGGTATCCTGGTTTGACACAATGCCCTTCTCACTGGCTGAGCTTCCCATGTACACTGATTCTGGCTGTGCTGCAAAGGGCAGCTCTATAGATGTAGATACCTGCTGTTCCTCATTCCAGTTCCCTTTGCCTTCACTGTTGTTATAACCTAGCATGGACAAAACAAAATAGATGATCAGAACCTCCTCGGACTGATAGGGTCGGTATACGCTGAATTAACTTAAGCACAATCATTTTTGGAGGGTTTACCTCGTGAGATGCAGTTTGAAGGGTCATTGGCCGCTTCTACCCATGACTGCTGAGAATCTGGGCAGGTTGGAGCAGAGGCCTCCGGTTTAGGCATGTAATTGGCCCATGCCTTTGCATTGGGATTAAGGTCTGAGATCTTGGAGGATTCCTTTAAAAACAAAAAGCAAAAACCATGGTTTATCAATTAGGTGTGTGATTATGAAGAAAATGCATATTAAACTGTGGGCTGAATCAATGCCTTTACAGTCACGCCACTAAATTATAGTTACAAAAACAGTGGCCACTTAAGCCACACTTTAAAGTAGATTTTACTGCATTAGATACGTTTTTATTTATAACCTTTGTGATGACTTAACCTTACCTGAAAAATAATAAAAATAAAATATATAATTTGTATTTTTCATTTGGCTTGAGATTTTTGTTATCTAATGCAATGACATTCATACACTTTTAACTGTGGCTAAAGTGTCCAAATAATTTCAAGGGCTACTGAATAACCAAGCTCAAAGCTAGCTAGAGAAGTACTTACGAGTTCACTATAAGCATTCTGCCAGTCCCATACACAAGATCCTTCAGTCGCTAACAGGTTATATGGGTAGGATGCTATGAAACCCATAGAGGTTTGGAAATCCTCTGAGAGAGCAACAGAGTCAGATTCAGCATCCTTTTCATAATTTTGCACAGTAAGGCTAGCCTCAGAGACAGCATTGTCCCATGCTGATACCAACGCACATGCCTCTATTTCGTTATCAGATAACAGGACATGTGGTTCTTTGGCCCACTCCGGAAGGCAGTGACTAGAGTGCACCTCATCGCTCAACTCTGATTTCCCAAGAAGATCTGACACCATATTCAGCATGCCTTGCTCTCCCTCCATTTCACCCGAGCCCTGAGAGTTTTCCATCTGCACCGAAACTGTGAATTGATCTTTTTTGAGGAAATATATCTCGTAAGATGGCAAGGTGGCATAAATATCAACCTGGTCAGGCTCCACTGGCAACGGATTTGCTGTATTTACATAAGCAGCTTTATCACTGATATCATCAACAATGACTTTCAAATCAGACTGATCAAAGTCAAGAACTCCAAGACTGCTTGTTATAAGTTGGGAAACATGAGGTATGGTAGCTGTCGAGCTCTCAATGGACGCATAATCACTACAATGGTCTTGTACGGCACATGTCTGCGCCTCTCCAGTTTCAAGTGATAGTCTTGCAGTAGTCACGAGAGGAATGTTGCAGTCAACAACATCTCCTCTGATTTCCCCCATGTCTTGAAGGTCTCCGTGCTCCTGAATGGATGTAGCTGAAGATCTCTGAGTGTCATTGGCTGGCTGTTCTGAAGAAGAGTCCAGGTACTGGCAAGCACTTTCCCTCATGCAGTTTATTGACAATAAAGTGCAATCAAATGTCTCCAAAACTTCAGAATGGCATGGTGGTTGAGACAGTGTTTGTACATCACTGCTAGCAGAACAAACAGATTTCAAACAGTCATTGTTATTCCCATCATTTAAGCAATTAAGCAGCTCTAAAGTTGGTACGACTCCCTGCGGTTCAAGTTCTGACATTTCGGTTTCACCATCATCAGCACACCAACAAATCTCAGCCAGTACCTTCTGTTCATCCTCACTGAAGCATTTGCTGGCAATATGCGTCTTCTCATCACGTTGTAAACAAGTCTCTCCTATTTCATTGTCCATGACTTGCTCTTGTGCTGTTGCAGGCAATTCGCTTCCCAATCCCACCTGTATTAAATAACTCGCTGCAACGCTTTCTGGATGTCCTTTATTACAGACATCATTGTATGATGCGTTTACAAACCAGGTGGCATTGCTGTGGAAGAGATTTTCCTCAACAGGACGATCAGAACCGGGTACAGGTACAGAGATTGCGTGAACGTCATCAACAACAGAAGAACTCAAAGAACTTACATTGTGATAATCAGCTTCTTCACATTTACCAGTGACCTCCAGGAGATGCTCAAAGTTCACAAGAGCATTTGTAGGAAGCCGAGATGGACTCATGTCACATGGTTCAGCATTTGCAAACGTTGCATTTGGTTCTACATTCTGTTCCCCGTTTGGATTGTCACAAGATTCTGACACAATCTCTGTCTGGTCAGTGGGAAAAACACCGCAAGTATAGACGCGAGTGCTTAAAGTCATGTCTTCTTCAGTATTACAAGTGAGATCTAAACAAATACCTTCTGCATGAGATGGACTGCTCAAACTCTGAGCCACACCAGCAACCTTGAAGATATCAGATTCATTTGTCTGCACTTCACTTTGCAATATACTGCACTGGCAAGCATTCAGAATGACCTCCTCCTGCGTTGCTATTTGTCTTGGTTCAATTTCAGCTCTACAACATGGAGGTGATTTTGACAGGTTGTCTTCTTCATCAGAAGCCAGTGGGGTCTCAGAGCAAAACCTTAAATTTTCAATGTCTTCAGAGGCATCTTTACAAGAAAACCTTTGGTCCTCTGTCTCAACTAACTTTTCTAATGCAAATGTGCTGACAGCTGAAAGAGCTTGAGGCGTTTTTTTGTGAACTTTCTCAGTAGGGGTTTTCTTGGAAACACATTGATCTGATTCCACGGCAGCTACACTAAGGTTTGTAGATCTATCTGCTGTGTTGCTAAGAGAAGAAATGAAGTAATCAACATTATCTGACACAATGGGTTTCTTCTCCGCCTTTAGGTTCATTGACTCTCTATTATCATAATTTCTACATTGATTTTCCAGATCTATTTCATCTTGCTGAGGTGGTCTCAACATAGATTTATCAAAAATGGTGTTATTCATGTTGAGCTCAGAACCATTCTCCAGTTTTGTAGCCTTGTAACCAGAGCTACTATAAAGATCATGGTTGTTAAGTAGGTCAGCAGGTTCCCCCTGTGGCAATGCAGTATCTGTACTTGACTTCAAAACAGACATCTGTCCATTTCGCGCCAGCAGATCTGGGGAGGGTTGATCAATGGCATCCTCTACAGCAGAAGGAGAAAGTGTGTTCTCTGTATTTGAACAGGAAATGGAAATGTCATTTTCAGATAAAGGCATTTCATTTTCTTGAACAGGAAATGATTTTAGAAGATCTGGGAGGGCATGTTCCTCATTTGGAAGTGCTAAATTTACAGGTAGACTTGTAGAAGACCCTAGAGTTCTCTCTGAGGGACCTTTTTCTGTTTGTTGTGTTGCTGTAATTTCATGTGAAGGCCATGAACCCGTTATTGTGTGGTCTTTCGGGAGTAATGAATGATCAAACAAAGCCTTTTCAGAGACAGCTGGTGCGCTTGCGTACCTGACTGTGTCAGCTTCTGTCACGGGCTGGTGCCCACACTCGCTCCCGAGATCCTCTAAATCAATCAAGCAGATGCTGTAGTAACTCTGTTCTTTTTCAAAGCCACGGTCAGTGATCAACAGTCCAGAATTTCCCTCTTCCGAGTCATCCAGATTTATTGAGCTCCCAGAGTGTTTATTGAACAGAGAGGTGGCATGCTTTGGAGTGGACACAGGTTTTGATTGTACATCCCACGGTGTCTTAACTTGTTCCTCTTTTGCAATAACGGAGAAACCAAATGGACTATTGCCCAGGGCATTTCGTCCGAGGGTGGTGTTCTCACTCTTGCCATCTCTAGTTAATTCTGTGGAATTCTGTTGACCATCACAAAACCATTTTGCTCTCATTATGGCATTTTCAGCTATTCTCTGTTTCACAGAATCCAACGTTTCAGTTTCCTTAATTTGGCAATTGTCTCTCCCCATTTCACTGGCATTTCCTTTCTGGACTGCAGCCTTGTGGATAGGTGGATCGCCGACAGGTGGGTCCCAAAATGCCATTCCTTCCTGTTCACTGCTACTGCCCTCTTTAATGAGGTTGAGACCTGCTGACAAGTTTGTGGAGGAAGCATTACAACTGGTATCCAAAGCAGCGTTCACGTTCCCATTTTGAGAAGGCTTCTCGACAGCCAGATCTGCGGCGGCCCAAGCGCAGTCTCTGAAGTCTTTCGCTGTGTAGCCCTCAGGAATGGCTGCCTGAAGAAGACTTGTTCTCTCGCTAACCAGGTTAGGGTTCAATTCTTTGCTGAAACAACACCCCATATTTTAATTGGTGAAAGGACGTCTATGCAAACCGGTGAACAAAAACTAGCTCCTCTCACAAGCTCCTTAGAGAGGGAAAGAGAGACAGAGGCACACGCTATGGCTGCTTACCCCCTCCCTAGACCCAAAATAGCACATTTAAAATTATACAGCTGACTCACATGGGCCCATCACTCAAATGCGAAGTCTCTCCAATGATTGGTGCTTCAATGGATGCTGTACTTGCATTGTATGAATGGGATCAGCAACTTGGCATGGTCTCAAAACACAAGGGTGGTTCACACAACTGCCTGTTAAGCCCTTTCACAACGCCCAAAGCTGGGCGGGGTGTCTCAGTTGTTTCGCTAGTAGGTTTTTATTCCCTAATCACAATTACTTAAAGGGGTCATATGATGCGATTTCAAGTTTTCCTTTCTCTTTGGAGTGTTACAAGCTCTTGGTGCATAAAGAAGATCTGTAAAGTTGCAAAGACTAAAGTCTCAAATCCAAAGAGATATTCTTTATAAAAGTTAAGAGTCAGCCACACCTACCTAAAACGCCTGGTTCTAACACGCCCCCACATACCTACGTCACGAT